TCTAGGAGAGGCAAAAAGATCAGCCATAATACACACCCCGTGTGTGCCACCAGAGCCGGGCCTCCTAGGTGATAATCCCTACGTGGACAAAAGCAGATCCCCTTCGATTTTCTTTTGTTTTCACTAGCTTGGCCACCAACCTGCAGCTTTCTTTAGATTCTGGATGCCACCCTCTGCCTCCCCTTTCTCCAAGCATCCTTTGACCTCGCCTGCCAGCTCACCTGTAATGCGCCAACTGCAGCACCACCTGCACGACAGAGTCAGGGCTCAACCTCTGGCTTTTGAGAAACTCCTTGCCAAAGCCATCGTACGTGAAACAGCGGATGTCCAGGTCGCTGATGAGGCTGAGAGGGAGGGACAAGACACAGAGCTCAGGCAGTGATTTGCAGATGCAGCGCCAGATGTAGAGCAAAGGTCCTCTTCTGCAGGCCTTGGTGGGATACCCATGGCACCATTTCCTGATGGCCACCATGCTCCCTGCCCCACAGATGTTTTACACTTGCGTGACATTACAGTATTTTAATTGAAAGCAATTGAACAGGGAAGTCTGCAGCCACAAAATAAAACACCGCCATCATTTTGGTTTCGCAAAATGCCTCTACACCCCAGAAGCTTTCTCAGATGGTTGGTTAAAAATTAGGAAAACTAAAATCCACTCTTTTTGGAGATTGGACCATCTGTCCAGAAAAGAGTCCAAAGGTTATGTTGGGAAAGGTGGAAGAAAAGAGAAGAAGATGACCAGCAGCAAGGTGGACGGACTCAGTTACAATGGCGATGGGGGCATCCTTGGAAGAGCTGAAGGACCAGGCTGGAGACAGATCATTATGAAGAAAATCTATCTATGTGGTCACTAAGTGTCAACAACGACTTGATGGAGCATAATCAATCAGCCTTGGAGGGCTGAGTGAGGAGGGTGGGCAGCCTTTTTGCCAAATATTTTGTGACCAGTTGCACAAACTGCTCTCAGAAACGAACTGCTCTCAAAAACGAAAACCCTCCACTAATTCTGCAAAAGACTGGAGAATCCTGCTCCCCACTTCCTAAAGGCACCTGGAATGTCATTGTATAACATATATAATGCTGCTCTTTTGGTTAATATGACATTTTATAACATAAAGCCCCTGGAGGAAGCTTTGCCTCAAAAGGAGATTTAGGAATATTCTAAATAAGCAGCAAGAAACAGGCTAAAGAAAAGATCAGGTCACCACTGAGGAGGAAGAATGTCCCAAGGATTTAAGACCTTGAGAACTGGGGTCAAGCAGAGTGGATAATATAGGACCAATTGGATAAATCCTTTGCTATACTGATTAGCAGCTTCCTTGTTCCCAAACACATACCAGATAAGCTTAACCAGGTTGTCTGCCGTGTATATGACAACAACTGAGGCCAAAAACTGATCCTGCTATGGAGTCCTTGGGGTTCTCTGAGCTTGGTTGTTTTCTTGCAAACATTTTTCTGGCTAGCACTGAAGATGTTACCTAGCCGGGTAATGAAATGTTTGCAAGAAAACAACCAAGCTCAGAGAACCCCAAGGACTCCACAGTTCAACCCTGAGCTACACGTATTCACCTCTATTGGTACTGATCCTGCCACCAGAACCTCCCTCATTCCCACTTAACACTCATCTTGAGCTGCCTTTCCAGTCAGGACCAGCAAAGTGACTCTGCCACAGTGGAGCTCCTGACCTTCTCCTTTAAAAAACTATCATTTTAAAAATAAGGATTTAAAAATGTTTAAATAGCTGAGCCCTCAGAAGATGGCCAGGTCTCACCCTATCTCTGGGTCTGGCTTTTTTAAATGTTTTAAACTCATTCCTCCCTCCCTCCTTCCCTCGCCTGCAACATTAGATGAAGTTGTATGACAAAAAGTTGCTGGTTGTACCTTAATAGCCCCAAGGCAGTTCCCTGCTGGTGATGCCAATTAGAATTTGATTGTACAGCACACCATCTAGAGAAAACCACTCTGGGAGGAAGGCCAGCAAGAGATATACCGTATTTTTCCGTCAATAAGACGCCCCCATGTACAAGACGACCCCCACTTTTC